AAACTATCAGGATTTTAAGAAACTGTACAATTTGGCATCTGCAGGGTCAATATATAACTGAATGGCTCTTTCTCTTTGCACTTGTGATCAATCATGATCACTTGAGAAATAAAAGTTACACTTGAAAAAATGTAAACTCTCAATAAATGTGTTTAATACTTTACTCTTAGGAGAAACGTCAGTTGTGTCAGCATTGAAAGTTTGATAAATACAGGCCAATATTTAATCTAGACTGATGACTGCACATATTACAATTTGAAAAACAACAATGAACATACTTCACTACAACGTTTGAGACCATTCACATTATAATTCATACAGAGATAATGACATGAAGGAAATTTGCAGTGGATGATGGGTGTGACCACAGTCCTAAAGATGGCCTGTGTTTTCTTCAAAAAACAGAAATGTGAGCATTGGTTCACCACAGAGGGGCTCTGGTCAGCACCCCCTTCCAGCTGTGAGAGTCCGCGACCTGTGACATGAAACATGAAACTGAAAAAAACAAGTGTGGTGGCAATGTTGAATTAAGAGCAGATTCTACTCTGCCATTTCTGCAAAGTTTACTATCGTACATGAAGTTGGACTTACAACACAGTCAATGAATTAGATGTGTAAATGAGCACAGAGACAAGAAAACATCAGCGCTGTCATGCTGGTTTTGAGTCACATATTATCTAATGCTGAGCTTTGGGCCAAGTTGTTTTTTCTGCATAAGGCACCATCATCTTGCTGTTTGCAGGGTTATTTAGTATATTATGTATAAAGGTAACATGAAGGGTTTTATCAAATTTTCAGATCTACTCAGCATTTGGTCAGTCTGGGTCATTGGGCCATTTCCTGAGAAAAACTGCAAAAACTTGAGAATTTGATATACAATAAAAAATGATAAAAAAATCCCTGTAAGAGTTTTTGAGATCAGTGCAATTAGAAGCTCTGCTTGGTGGTAAACTTGACATTATGAACATTTACTTCTTGGTCGTGGACATAGTAGATGCGTTGAATCACAACAAGACCTGAAATCTGAAGACACTTAAAATCACATCTACATTATTATATGCTAGCTATGTTTTATCAGATAACCTCACCTGCATTCTCCTTTGAAGAAACCTCAGCTTCTGGTCGAGACATTCAATCTCCTAAAACAGGAAGGGAGAGGCCACAGTCAGGTGGATGTAGAAATGCATATGAATGTAAAGTATCATTCACATTGTTGTAAGAGTTCTACATCAAAGTTAAAATACCTGGTCAAGCTTTTCATTGCGCCTGAGATTGATCTGAGGCAGAAGGTCCTCCAGTCTTTGAATCTTACAACAAAACACAGGAATCTAAATTCAAGTTCTGGCAGGTGATTAAAAAAGCTTAATGGTCCAGACAAAATGAAAAAAATACAATCAGATAGAGAAACATGCTGATCACAAAAACACTGCATGACTGAATAGATAATTTCATGAAAGAAAAGTCTATAACCATGAAGTTGTGCTTATTTAGATCAGAATTTGGATGCTTGGTGCATGTAGACATTTCAAATCCTATCTTACCCTCCTGTCAATAGTCTGTAGCCTGGTCTTCATGCTCTTGTTGATCACAGTCATGGGAATGGTTCTGGGCTTGGGACGCACTGGGTAAAGCAAAATAAACCACATCATTACATGGAAAATTTGCCTTTTCCTCAGGTTGATTTTATATCATCAGTAGTGTAATGTGCCAAAATGGGTATATGAGTCAGGCACATTTAAGGAAGTACTATTATACTTCTGCATCAACTATATGTGTGCGAATACAGTGTTGGTTTGTGTCCTAATTTGTAACCTAAAATACACGTCATTTTAATATAGTGCCTTTAAAGCTTATCAGTTAGTATTTGATAGATTTTTTTTAGATATTTAATAACAAACAATATATACTGTGTTAATAAATAAGCTATATATTTCCTGGAGAGCTTTGCTGCCTTTGGACAGTGTTAAAGGAGCAGTTTCACCCTGTTTCCCTTCTCCCCATCTTAACCCACAGATCAAGAAAACATTGCTCTTACCATGCTGAAAGATCTTGGCTACCTCAAGCACATAAGGCCTGTTGTGAACAACATATGGCACCAATTAGTGCTTAATATAAGTATTAGACAATGAATAGATGAGTGGAAATATAGGACTAAATGACTACAGTCAAGACTCCTCACATGTGCTTGCTGTTAGAAGGCATTGAGCTGTTCAGAGGGATCAGACAGCCACGATGGTTCCTTATCTGCACACAGAGGAAAACAAAATTTATTCAGCTCATTGTGTTTTTAACCACTTTATTTCTATATCAATAGTTTCAACTATACAGATTTTTCTTTCTTTATAACAATATTCTATCCATGCATGAGGGTAAATAAGTCTTTGTACCTTGAATATTATATCACAACAGTTCAGTCCAAAGGTAGTGGTGATGATCTTAAAAAAAAAATGGAAACAAGGCAAAACATTTCAAATACTCACATAAAACACACTGTTTCTTCTGTTTGTGATTTTTACATAAATATTCTGTGTTATATTCTTGATTTTCAATTGGTAAACATGAAGAGAACAGGTCCATTGTTCCAAGTAATGTGTGTGGCATTTGACTGACAGAACCAACTGTCAAGAAATTGGTTAAATTGAATGCATGCATGGATGGATGGATGGATGGATGGATGGATGGATGGATGGATGGATGGATGGATGGATGGATGGACCACACCTGTATGATCATGGTGACATCAGCTGCTGGAGGGATGGACACCTCTTGAAGAGCCACCACTCTGTCATCTACAGCACATACAACACTTTTTTAATATGCCATCTTTGAAAGTGATTATATTTTGTAACAAATGGATTTATTCATGTTTCATCAAATCCTTAATCGAAGACTTCATTTTAAAATGATTAAAATGTTTGCAGTAACTCCAGGAACGGTGAACCAATACAGTAGGTGGTGGTGATGCACCTTGACGTTGGTTGCCACCCGCCAATAAACAGAACGAAGAAGAACCACGACTGAACCACATAGTAACTGTTTTGGTTACTGTAAGTTAGCTATGACTCAAAAAAGACGTTGTTTGAACTGGTACCTGTTCTATCAGGTATTTGATAACTGCACAGATACGTGCTGAACATGAACTGTAAGCCTTGCATGATTTTACCTTGATTCCAATGTCCTTAATGACTTTATAATTATTTATGTTCTTTTTATTTTATTTATTTATAGCCAAAGTGACAGTTTGTTATCCTTGAACAATGATCCATCCACATTTACGTCTGTCAATGACAGAATTTTGTCAAATGATAACTCTCCAGATAAAAAAAGTTAAATCTGTGTTCCTCAATAGTATATGTCTGCTCTCTGAGGCGCCTAGAAAGAACAAACACAGGAATAATTGTGTCTCACAGTAAATTAGGGCTTTTCAGCCCCTCTTTTAATGGCGTTACAAACTCTTCAGAGCTCTAATAACACACCAATAAATCCCAACAGTCAAACGCAGCTGTTAATGGATATTTACCAGCGTTTTAAAAAGAGAAAACCTCCTCCAGAGTAAAGAATACACGTTCGACTGGTAAGAAAATAACAAAACCTGTAGTCTTCAAAGCGTTGACGGGGCAGGTTACCATGGACACAGACGCACACAGTAAAGAAGAGAATTCATCAGTGATCGTGGAAACAGAACCGGACAGAAATCTACGAACCATTTTTGTCCAGACGCCTCAGAGCGATCCAGGCCTTTAAAGTGCGTGATCTATCAAACGCGGCGTGAGACATGTTAACCCGCACACACAGCTGCTGCTGTCACCCACTAGACTGTTTATAAGAGAGGGTCACGCACTCTTTATATACAGTCTATGGTCA